AAGTATGCATAATCAGACCATAACTTGCTCTCTCTCTCAGTCAGAAGCTGCAGGTTTTAGTTCGAAGTTTTTCTTCCGGCAAGTTCATGAAAAGTGTCAAACGATAGGCAGGGTTGCATTTGTAAACAAAAACAGAACCTTAAGCGCCACGGAGACAATCAAATAAATACGTCAAGCATTGCATATGTATGAGATTGGCCCGCAAACGTTCAAATAAACTCGTCAATTAAACGAACAATTTATTTTTCTTGTCCGCGCACTTGCTCACCACGACGATCAGAAGGCAAGTGCGCTTGTTTTTTGTCAAGCATAACGCAAGACGTTTGACAAAGATACTTGATCGTCTCCATGGCACTTAACATAAAAAAAAATCGAAGTAGTTACAGGAAAAGTGATTTCTCGCGTTCCAGGTGACCTTTATTGTTTCGCTCTCGCTCCTCTCTTTCAAGAGAGTAACTTTGTTATTTGAAAGTTTTACAGGTTTTTACATGATAAAAATATAGCAAGGTAGAACCGTTCTCTCAATTTGTCGGCCATGATTTTTTTTTGAAGTTTGCCAACATTTTAAAATCATATAACGGGGAAAATAAAAAGATGAAATCGTTCGAAATTGTTGTTGCTTGAGATGGAAAATGAAAATGTGTGTGTGAGTTTGTGAGTAAATTTAAAAATTAAATTGTTTGGAAACGTCAAGAATTTTAAAAGTGACTCAGCGGTTCTACCTTACTATATTTTTATCATGGGTTATTACACGAAATTATCTGGAACGCAACTATTTTGATTACACTCTCTCGAAATGATTCAAAATAAATAAATAATAAATAATAAATAAAATAATAAATAATAAATAAATACAAAATAAACACATGAATATTTATTCAAATGTGGGAAAAACTTAAAAATTTAGAAAAGAAAAATGAGTTGCTGCTTTAGCGGCTGCCCAAATTCCGTTTTCCTTTACAAGCAAAGCAATCTAAAGTTCTACAAGTTCCCGAAATTATCGTATCTACCATGATAAAAATATAGTAAGGTAAAACCGCTGAGAGGCACTTTTAAAATTCTTGACGTTTCCAAACAATTTAATTTTTAAATTTAATCACAAACTCACACACACAATTTCATTTTCAATCTCAAGCAACAACAATTTCGAACAATTTCAATTTTTTATTTTCACTTTTATATGATTTTAAAATGTTGGCAAACTTCAAAAAAAAATCATGGCCGACAAATTGAGAGAACGGTTATACCTTGCTGTGTTTTTATCATGGTATCTACAGCAAAAATTGATCGAGGTTTGTGGTGTTACGGAATCGGGTTTTCCAAGTGCCCCTGTTTGTGCTAGGCTCATTTTTTGCCACACCACCGGACCGGAATGTAAGCACAAGATAGTTCTTTGATAGTGCATGCCATAATCATCGCCTTTACATGCGGGCAGAAGTCCATTACAGACAATTGCCTCCATTTATTTATTTACATACGTATGATATTTTTATCATGGTTGTTTCGACAGAAATATATTTCTTTGGTTTGAATGAAAATAAAAACAAACAAACGAAATGGCAGCGAGAGAAAATTTCGAAATGCTAGCAAACGTCAAAATTCCTAAAGTTGGCTCTCAGCCTTGATTCAATTATTAAAGCCATATATGTAATACTTCTATATTGCTAGTACATTCAAAGTACATTCCCCAAAATCAGAGTGCCGAAATATTGAAAATAGAAAGAGAGATCCGATAAGAGAATGTACTCAAAATGACAATTTTACTTTTCAAAATTCAGGAGCGGTTTCACAAATTTTCATTTAAAAACAGCTCTTAAGAAAAATTAACAAAAAATAAAATTTTTGTAAATCTATGAGAAGCGCTGCGGGGCACCCTGAAATTGTGCATATGGAAACTGTGCATACGAAATAATGCATATGAAAAAAACCGAAATAATGCATACGAAAAAAACCGAATTAATGCATATATGCACAGTTTCGGTTGAAAACCGAAATAATGCATATGAAAAAAACCGAAATAATGCATATATGCACAGTTTCGGTTGAAAAGCGCAATAATGCATATTAGAAAAACCGAAATTATGCATATGCACTCTTTCGTTTGAAAACCGAAATAATGCATATGAAAAAAACCGAAATAATGCATATATGCACAGTTTCGGTTGAAAACCGAAATAATGCATATGAAAAACCCGAAATAATGCATACATGCACACTTTCGTTTGAAAACCGAAATAACGCATATGAGAAAAACGAAGTAATGCATACATGCA